CACTGACAGAAAGATTTTGCTACAACACATAATTTTTCCCTTCTGAGTTTTGGCCCTTCACTTCTCTGTGTCGAAACAAAATCCTACCCTTCCCTTTTCGCTGTTGAAGCTCTTCAGTTACCTGCAGGCTGTTATCCTGTCGCCCTATTTTCATCTCTTATCCATGCTAAGCATATGTTAGTTCTTTTAATCTTTCCTTAGAACTTGGAAATTCCTAGACCCATGACAGTTTTTCTTGCTTTTCTGTGAGCTTTCTATATTTTTATATTTATCTATTGACTTAACGACCAAGACAAAATTGTATTTTGTCATATTCTCAACATCCAGTTATATGCAGAGATCTAATAATTTCAAGCCACAGCACATGATCATTCTACTAATGAAAATTCCTTTGGGCTTTCAGGTAGTCTCATCACACCTAGAATCTCATTTGTATTCTTCCAGTCTCTCCTCCCTTTTGCCATTCCTGATTTAATGCTTCTTTCATCTATTTAATTATATATGTATTGGAAATACAAAAAATCGTAACTAATCAAAATACCCAACTGAATTCTCTTAGCTTTCATTTATGTTCCCAATGTTTTTAGGCTACTGCTTATTATTTCTGATATGATGGGTGGTATTTATACATCCCAAGTTTTCATAGACCCTGAATTTCTTTTAGTTGCAGTTTAATATTTAAATAAAATTTAAAGTGAATGCCGTTTAAACAATTTAAGGTCATATACACAAATAGTAATCTATCACATTACAGAAAATTGTTATTTCACCCCTTACGTTTCTTTACAGTATTTTTCTTAAAAATAGCCTGTGTTCTAAGTCACTAGGTACTAGAGTATGCAATGTGCTCTACATCAGCAAAGTGTGAGTTGAGACGAATTCAAGTTATTTTTGTAAAGCTCCTCTATCACCTGGTTATTTCTCCTTCTCAAACTAAAAACAAATCAACAGGAATTTTTAAGGAAATGTTTATTGAGCACAAAGTCACAATGATCAGAAGCCATTAACCTTCAAATGCCTAATTTTGGTTATGCTGATCTTATACTGCCACTACCTTTTTTATCTTTCACTTTATTTATCATCTGTGCTTTAGTGCTCTTAAAGGTCAATCCTTGAGTTTTACCTCTGGCATTTGGCTTTAATCCTCCCAGTGTAGCTTTAAAGCAGTTTTCTCTTCCTCTAAAACGCACACACTTTTAGATGTCTTACCTTGCTCATTTCCTGGCTTAAATTACATGACCATAATATCAAGAACATTTTCCATGATAGGCAGGAGAAATCTTCCCCTCCACGTTTTTAAGACCAAAAAATACCCCCCGAGTCCTAAGCTTCCCAGCCTCCTTAGCATCCATCCTGCCACCTCCCATCCCTTCAGAGCAAGTTGTCACACGGGTTTCTCCAGCAGCACAGGACAGCTGTCCAGTTCTTTTATTCATGGCATAACAGTCTGAAGGCACTGCAGTTGTCTGCTTGATGGCTCAGAGTTGCTGTTATCCTCACAAGGATGACCTGCTGTCACTCATCTATTCAATAGCACTCCATCAAGCACTACCACCTTCTGTGCTGCAGCAAAAATCAACTCAGCCTTCCTTGTTGTCCTCCTCTCTTGGAATGGAGGCGAGCCCTCTTCCATGGGAGTGTTCTGTGAGAGCTCCTGAGGGACATGCAGCATCACTGTCTAGTCAGGGTGATTGGAGGTCCTAAGAGGTTATCATGGACTCTGGGTGAGTTTTTTAGTCTTGAATCTTATAAGTTTATAAACTGATATATTCGGAAATATTTCCATTCTATCTCTTCTGTCCTACATGATGTCCAGATGCAGCTATTCTTGAGAAAACTCAGACAGTGTTAGCAAAGATATATCCGTCCACACATTCCCTGCCTTCAACAGTATAATCTGGAATATTCTTCTCTGCTGGAAGGATATTCAGCGAGACATATATGTCAAAATTTCTTCACTGACAGTGAATATGAATGATATCAATGTCTGGTACTGGGAGCTGCCAGGCAGTCCTGTACAGGGACTTCTGAAAAATAATTCTGCTTTGTCCTATATCAACAAGTTCTCCCTAACTTTTCAAGGAAGGAAATGCCTTTTAGGATTAGTGCACTTATCCATGGTCTGTCTTGCAGGGACTCTGAGCAGTCAAATAAACCAACCTCAGTTGCTTCAAACTGCTAGACCATGACTGGAAGATGTAGACAGCTGTCCTAATAGCAGTATTTCAACAGTGTTCCTCTGTGTATCCCAATCTCACAAGAAATGTCAGGCTTTATGTCCTAGATATCTGGGTTCACCTCTGGAAAGTTACTGACTTTTCTGGTTGGAGACATTTTTCCCATTTTTTCTCTTCTTCAAAGCATCTCTTCCATGTTAAGGACAGAGCTCAGGCTATGCAGTTGGCCTTAGAAAGAGATTAGGTGTTGCTGTCCTATTTACAAAAAAATCACACCCTGAGCATCAGTGTGTGAAAGAGCAATTTCTGCCTATAAAAGGAAAATACATTTTCTTAGGGTTTTTGTCAAAAGTAACCTCCCCTTGGAGTGTCCCAAAAAATTTCCATTTCAGACCAGATAGGTGGGGTCCCATCCCACTTTTCTTAAACTTTATAGACTTACTGGTATACCTGGTAGAAGTTCTGTGTCCAGAAGATCTGCTTGTGAGAGGATTTTCTGCTAGGTATGTTTTCTTGGGTACTATACATAGAGAATGAATTAAAGTAGGAAGAATGGATGCTTGTTTGCAGGTTTTCCTGTTAATTTCTCTCTTTTATACAGTACATCTCCAACAATTCTGCCTATACCTCTCCCTTTGGTAGTCTAATTGGATATGTAGATTATTAAAATGAGAGGAGCTGAAACAACAGCCTGATTTATTTCAATTCCCACTTCCATGGAAGCCATGAGGAATTCTGCCAGAAGTACCAGCAGGAGTAATGCTAGTCCTGCAGCGCTTACTGTGGACTTTGATGCTGTTGGTGCTTATGCTCAGGAATAGGCACACTGGGCCTGTGCATGAAGTTACCACCTGTGTGAATGCTTCCAGACAGACTATCAGATTCTGATCCTGCAAATATTCATGCCTGAACTTCTCTTCAAACACAACAGTGTTCATACCTAATATGTTTTCTGTACTTTCAAAGCCCCCAGTGAAGGAGGCCATCCCCTACATGGTGCTTTGAATTAAGGCCTGTATTTTTTCCCCTGGCTCATGCTGCAATGTGCAGGGTACTCAGACAATGTTAATCTTCCTAAGGGGAAATAAAGGAAAAGTTACTTTCTCATGCTTTGAACTCATTTATTTGGGTGTTGCTGCATATTTAATTTTGGAAGAAATTATAATTTATTAAACATGCAAAGCCTGACAGAGTAATTTTGCTGTTCCTGAGAGAGTATCTTAGGATAATGATATTTCTAATAAATGGTTTATATATTTTTCATAATTTTAATGTCAAGCAAATTTTGAACAAAGAGATTGAAATTACAATATGTGTAGATAATAATACCATATTCAAGAAAACGTGACTGCTCAACTATGTAAAAGGATACATGCTGCCTTTAGCAAACCATTTCTGAGGCTTTTTAATTAAAGCTGTAAACTGGTAATGATGCCTGTCAATTGATGAAAAAACTTTTTTCATTTATAAATAGGAATTTTTTGTGATTTTGAACAAAATGTCTCCAAACGAGCATATCACCTTCTTTGTGGCTTTTTTACTCTTCAAGGCTTCCAGAGCTATTGGCATTTTTAGTACCAAGTAGAAATATTTTCTTTGTGAATATGACATATATGCCTTTCTACCATTACTTCCTTCTACAGAAGTAAACATAGTGCTTATTCCATTCCCTCTATATTAAATACATAAATAACTCTAATTACAGATGGAAAAAGCAGATTTATTCCAATTCTCACTGGTTTACATGAAATTAGGTGCCATAGGAGTGGTTCTTTAGGCTTTATGATCTTCTGAATGTACTTGTTGAGTGCCATTTTGTTCCTATTGCCTACTGCTCACAAATGGCTTTCTCAATTTAATCCTGCCTTGTTTTTGAGAAACACTATAAAGGTATGAAGAGACTAACAATGAAAAGGAAATTAGTAGCTGGAGGCAATTGCATCAGAAAAAAATATTATTCTGTTATGACTACAAACAGTAGCATTAAGTGTTAAAGTAGACTTTCAAATTAATTAGCATTTAAGGGAAATGGGTTTGGGATAGTTGTCACATTGCTTTTAAGCATCTGTGTCACCAGGTACATCTCTGCTTTCTATTCTTTGCTAGAGAAAATAATAAAGAAGTAAACATTTTTAGTTTTAAATCTGTTCTATGTTCCTACTTCTTGACAAATAAGAGCTCAAGAAAACAAAACAAAATAAAGCAAAACAATGCAAAACAATGGTATTTCCCTGTTCCGCACAGGTCCAGTAAAAGGTGCCTATTCTTCACAAAGGCAAAGTGCTATTTATTGATCCTATATATGTGGGGGAATAAGCATACTCTTCTCCATCTCCCTTGCTGTTACCCTGACAAAATCCTTTGGGACACCTCTTTGTGAGGCTATGTCCAGCCCACTGCAACTAAAAATAGATGTAAAGAAACCGGATCTGGCACACTCTTCATCACCATTCATCACCTCAAGCCCTATTTCACATATTTTTTCTCTTTTTCCCTCTTAGCCAGGTATAGTGCTTTCAAAGTGGCTGATATAAGTAGTCAGGGTCACAGAAGATGTGCATCAACTTCTTGGGACTTCAAGATTTTCAAATAATCTGAACACCAGGAGTACTAAACCTTTTATTATATCCCATTTCCCCTTGAGCATTCGAACCCAGCAAAAAAAGAAATTAACAAATAATTCTTCATTGTCTTCTTTCTGCAAGGATGGTAATAGCTGCGAAGAGAAAAATAACAAAACTTGAGGCAGGTGCACTGCTGCTATGATAAATGAGTAATCTTTGCACATTTGCATCTACTTTCTTTAATATTTTTCACATACAGATACTTCATGGATTGGAAGAATGATGTGGACAGCTACTTTACAATAGATGCCACTGAAGGAACCATTGCTACTAATGAATTACTGGACAGAGAAAGCACAGCACAATACAATTTGTCTATAATTGCAAGTAAAGTTAGTAAGTATGACACAAACTGACTTAATATGCTAATATGGTATTTTTCTCAGAATATAATGCTCAGGTATAAATGTAACGTGAAGACTACTTGAATTGCCAAGTGTTTATTTAAGAAGGTTCAATGAATATCATTTTCCCAGACTCATGAGGATAATTGTGAAGTTCAATCAGCCCTGTTTAGTAAGGTTTTGCTAGCAGATCTCATGTAACCACAGTTCCCTTAGAAGCTGAAAAATATTTTGTCATCATGGAGCTGTATGGGTGCCTTCCAGTTCTGATTTTTGATTTTCTCAGTCACTTCATATGAAATTAAGTTAGTCAAATAACAGGTCTGTCAATGTGTTTTTTGAAGGCAGAAAAATTTAAAGAGTCATTTTATACTCAGATAAAAAGTACACTAAAATTAAGTCGATTTAATGCCCTAAAACAATCTGTGTACTGCATCTCTGCTCTTATCTCTTCTCTCTGCCCAAAATTTTATGTCTAACCCCTTTTTTTCTTTTCCTGTGAGATTTGTGGTGGGATAATTTCATTTCTTGTCTTTGTGTCTTCTCCATAGCCTTTTTTTTACTAAGTCATTTCTTCCACTATATTATGTGCCTGCAACTTTCTTCATTGCTATCCATGTGTGTGGCATTTCTCATTCATTTTCTTGTCAAACTGTAACTCTCATGGGTGTATCTCATGCTTTGAATACAAATCTTTTGGTCACTTAGCAGTTGTGCAAAGGCCACAGAATTCTTTCTGTTGACATCAATATGCTGTAGAAGAGGGTCATGCTGTATTTCTTATTCATTCTATGTTGTTTATGTGTCAGAAAAGGCAACTTTCTGTAGAAAATAGCATGTTTTCCTCAATGTATTGTTTGGCTGAGTCTTCAAAAGTTAATGCATGCTACTAACTAGAAGTAGGAGATTTGGGAAGCAGAGATGGTAAATATTATTTCAGATAAAAACCACCCCGAATTCTCAGTTGTAGTTATCTCAGAAAGAATGATGGGCTCACTCGTGGGAACCTGAAAATATAAAGAGAACACCGGTAAAATGAATGATTGAATTTTATCCCTAGATTGGAAAAGACACTAACAGAGAAGCCTAAGCTGTCAGAAGTGGTTGAGTCCATGGAGATATATGTGCAGGTGTATACTCACAGAAAAAAACCAGCAGAACTGTAATTTGTTTCCAGAGAAACTGAAAGGCAGGCAGATGCAGAAAGAAGGTCTCATCAAGGTCTATGTTTCAGTAAAGCTTAACTATTTAGGCTTAGTAGTGGACAAAGGACGTTTGAGATTTAAAAATTTTTTTCCTGCAGCAAGGGAAACAGTTTTAGTAAACATAATTTAAATCTGTTTATTATTCCCAATAATAATTAAAGATATCTAAAATCCTGAAATTTGTTTGTCCATGGACACATATATATAATAGTATGACATTTAAGCAGAGCTGTAGCAAATAGTATATATTTTGATATCCTGAATTTTATGAATTGCTATACTAAGAATCTGCAGCTAAAACATATCTGTGCTTTATTGCAGCCTATCCCAAAATATTTATATATTGACCATTATCTATAATGGTAACAATTACCAGATCTCTACTATACTAGCAACTGGCAAAATTTGGGAGGATTTGGGCTATAGTAACTGTCAAAACATTATGTGCAATTGTCTGACTAAGAGCGTAGAAAAAAGGGTGGAGGATTGAGGGATGACACACTGCACAAAAGCAAAATATAATGGTTACAGAGAAAAAAAAATGAAAAAGATTGAAGGAAAATTGCTATATTTGAAGAAATATTGATATAAAAAATTGTTGTCCAGTGCTGACATAGAAACTAAAACTGTCATCCCTTATCACAGGAAAAACACACTGAGAAGTGCCTTGACACATACATGACTATTTTAAAAAGTGGCCCAATTTTGAAATTAGCTGCATAAACTTTCTTCAGAAAAGAACAGACAGTATTGTTATTGAAGTATTTTCCTGGTGACTTTATCTCTGTATAAGGACATATGTGTGCATATATATATATATATATATATATATATATAAATATGTCTTTATAAAATAAGAATAAATAAGTAGACTCATAGCTAGTAACAGATTAAGTTATTTAAAAAATGTAATTGCTAAAATTTTGTTTTCTCATTGTGAGAGAATAGCAGCAACAACACCTCCCACACTTTTTAGGCACATCCTAATGGTCATTCTGTAAACTAACTTTTCTTGAATTGTCCCTAAATGGAGATGTTTTTAAGCATGAGATGGATGATTGTTCTGCAGACATGCTGAGAAGGCAGCTGAATGTAGCACATCCCTAACCCATTCATGGATATAAAGTTCAGGTTTTGTATAGAGCAAAGTGCTTGAGCAGGTAGAGGATGTTTCAGACTCACATTTTTCCCCCCCCATTTCACTTCCCAATTCCTCTGTCCTTTTTTTCATTACATGAGTATATTTCATTTTAGCTTGTTGTTTTGTTTCTTAATAATTTTAATAAATCAATACCCTAGTGCATGGTTGCTGTTTGTGAACATTTTTTGATGTCACAGAACCTATCCAAACTAATAAATTAAACATGGCTGTCATTCATTTCAAGGACAAAGCCCAGCTGGCATGAAGTAGCTTATTTCTATGCGTTCTTATCTTCCAGAGTCCCCACATGTAACTTGATCCTTTAAGAGTAGTCCCTGCCCTTGCTAATTCCCAGCACATGCATGTGAATTGTCCACAAGATCACTGGTTGCTGCTGGCCAAAACTGTACCAAGAGCTGCCATAAGAGCATACTGGCATAAAAAACCACAGTCCAGTGTTCAAAATTCCTCCATATGCTGCCTAATTACCTAGTATAGAAGTGGGGGTTTTTTTCCACTTTACAAAAGAGGAGATAGATAAAACGCATAAGAACTTACTTCTGCTTTCCCATCCTCAAGGCATAATTTAAGGGTAAAAATGCAGTAATAATCCTTCCTGTCCAAACCATCTCCCTAACTCAGCTATGCCTAGTTCCAAATTTTTAGAATGTTAAAGAAATCTCACCCTAAATCACAAGATGGAGTTGATCTTCTCCTGTGTACCATACCTGGGATTAAAGAATCTGAACTTCTCCTCAATAGTCAGTATCTATTTTCTCAGATACTTTGGATTTTCACAAGTTCATTATTCAAAGAATGTTACATGTTTCCTACTGCTGTAATGGCTTTGAACCATTAAGATGCTGACAAATGATGGTAATCAAGCAAAAAAAGGAAGCAGGATGGTCATTGTTTTACAGACAGGAAAAACAAGGGAAAATGAAGTCAACTAATTAATTAAGTTGATAAAAGAAATTAATGAAGCTAATTAATTTTCCTATATCTTACAGGCAGAATTGAAACATGAAATCAGTTCCTTAATTTCTAAGTTCATGTTTTACCCAGTTTCTCTTTTCATCTGTTTAATCTGGGTTTAAAAGGCACAAGCAGATGTTTTAGTGACTCAGTGATACCAGTATATACATCACAATTGTGTCCACAGGGTTCATGAAGACTTGAATTTGAGTGAAACATCAACAAAAAAGCACAGAAAATGGAGGTCAAGTCTGCAAAGTAGTATTTTAAATGCAATTCTTCATGCTTGCTCACATCAAGTATTACAGGTCTTTGGTATTGCATGTGAATTCAAAGCTGTACACAATCTTCTTGCAGTCTTCATTTATATATGCAAGTAGTTAAAGTGATGACAGTGCAAACCGGAGAAAAAATCATATAAACAGAATGAAAACTTGAAATAGGTTCATCTTAGGCTCTGGTAATTCTGTTTACTCTCATTTCTGCCTTTTCCACACCATTTGTGCAAGGTAAAATTCTAGTTTACTGGAATACTTAGAAGATTTTGGCCTTCAATATATCTTTCAAAGAACGAGAGAGAATAAATCAGATACCATCAGTGAGAAATAAATTTAAAAAGTATACTCATATTCACGTATATTTCCAGAGCATGCTATCCTGTTGTGATTTTGAGGGGGGAAAAATGTCAAATCCTTTTGTTAATTTGAAAAATATAGGTCACATACTACCTAAATTGTTGCAAAAGGTAGAAAAAAGTAATTTATACAAGCTACTTTACAAAAACATTACCTACAAACTTCCTAAAGAAACTGACATATCTAACAGAAATTATCAAAACCATCTGATATTTTCACGTACATGATGCATAAATTTTAAATACATTCAAAAATTTTATTGGAAAGGCACAGTGAACATATTTATAAAAGGAAATGGATACCTATGCCTGTATTTTATATTTTATACTGTGGCAATGTATGATCTCTAATCTGTTTGAAGAATATGTCCTGAACCCCCATTTATCAGTGTTGCACCTGAAAATGAACACAGACACACAAAAACATCTAAAGCAAAGCCTGAGTTACTCCATGTGGGTTGCTGTGTCCTTTTCAGTGAGTACTGCTAGGAGGGAAGTTTTAGGTCAAATTGTTTCTCCCAGTAGCTGTGTGAATTTGACCTGTTCAGGGGTTTTCTGATCTCTCCATAGAGGTCTTGTCCTCTACTGAATAAAATAACTTCTTAATTTTTTTTTTAAAATTTCCCATTATACAAAGGAATCAATTCAACTGTGAACAAGTGATCTAGATTTCTTCCAGCTCTTCAGGCACCTGAAGAATGAATGCACAATTCCTAGTTGCTAGACCAAACTCTGTCTTTGATTGTACTGCACAATTCACTCCTCCACAGAGACATTCTGCACGTAGGGATGATGCTGAATTGAAAATGAACAAGAATTCAAAGAGACGTCATTATATATTTTCTCTAATAAATATTAAATATTTCTCTATTAAATAGGGACTACAAATGTATGATCTGGGTAGTGCATTTTTGTCATCTTCTAGGTTCCAAGAGGTGTTTATAGATTGGTCAGTTTATCTACTTCTTGTAAATAGGTAAAAAAAAGTTCATCTTGCAGCTAGTCCTGTGTAACTAGGAAATAATTGGGGAATACCTTTGGTTTTAACAGAGGCCCCCTGAAACTACTACTGCATTTAGTAGTTCCTAAGAATAAGGAAAAAAGCATGCAAATTTTTTTTTTTTTTACAGTGACAACATGAAGAGACTTTTCCCTTTGCTATGTTAGTTATAAACAGATGAAATGCCAAGGATTATACAAGCTGCAAAGCAAGTGCCCAGTGCAAATAATTTGAAAGGTCCACTGAAGGCCATGAAAATGATCAGAGGGTTGGACCATGTCTCCTATGAAGACAGGCTGAGACAATTGAGCTTTTACAGCCTGGAGAAGAGGACACTCTGGGATGACCTAATTGTGTCCTTCTAGTATCCAAAGGGAACCTACAAGAAGTAGGTTCTGCTGGAGTTTTGACAGCAACATGTAGTGACAGGACTAGGGGAAATGGCTTCAAACTGAAAGAGTGTGGATTTGGATTGGATACGAGGTAGAAATTTGCTACAGTGAGGGTGCTGAGCCACTGGCACATGGGTTGAGGAATCAGTTGTGGGTGCCCCATCCCTGGAAGTGTTCAAGACCAAGTTGGAAGAGAGCTTGAGCAATCTGGTCTAGTGGAAGGTGTCTCTGCATGTGGCAGGGGGCTTGGAACTAGATGATCTTAAAAGTTCCTTCGCACCCAAACCATTCTATGACTCTATGAATTATTCCTGAAGATTCAAGACAGCTCCTCTTGTACTAGAACATGATCTCATGTTGTCAGTCCTACAACATTCTGATTTATAGCATAGATTTTTTCCACAGTTAACTGTTTCTGCCACTCATCTTAAGTGGAAAAGGATAAAATAATCATACTTTTGACTCACCAGCTATACTATTTTTCTCATATTTGCTATTTTGCAGGAGGTCCCAGCATAAAGTAACAGAGAACATGATGTGCTTTGTATTGTACTAGGGTCTCTGTTTTGTCAGACATTGCACTTGCAAGTAAACTTGTTTATAAAATACATTGAGTGACTTATGAAAATTATCTATAGAGGAAGGACAGTGGAAAGAAATGTGGTGTGTACTTTTGTTTAACATTTCTTTTGCACAAAAGTATTTGCTGCCTGCAAACACTTTTGCAGTTAAAGAAATACCTTTTATGACATGGCCAAATATTTGAATGCTAGCTGTGAGTGTTCCACTGCTAAATTTAACACTGACTCTGGCTGGCAGCAAGATTTTGTTTTTCCATATCTTCCTTTCTTTCTCTGCCTTTTAAATTGGTATGCTCTGCTTTCCTCCTTAATATCTTGAAGATTTGAAAAATGGCTAGGCAATAAATAGTGATTTTCTGCATTTAGTTGTGGAAAACAGAATTCGGTTTTAATCATTGGAAGTCCACAGGCCTAATGAAAAGTGGTCTGAGAAAAGTTTGCATGCTTAATAACAGGTACAACTTCACTTTTTTTCCATTTATGCTCTAAACATAATCACCCTGACTGATTCCTTAACCCATGAAGAGTAATGGATCAAATTCTGGTACAAACTGATAAGAAGTTTGGTTCTGTTTTCTTAATTCAAATCAGAAATAGATGGAAGTCAAGGGCTTTTGGGAGCCACAGTACTGAGATCACAAGTTTATGTCAGTTTATAAGACTGGTGATGACAACAAATGTAATGTTTTTTTTTTCTAAAATTATTTATAGGTAACCCACTATTAACCAGCAAAGTCAATGTTATAATAAATGTTTTGGATGTCAACGAGTTTCCTCCTGAAATTTCAGTTCCCTATGAGACATCTGTATGTGAAAATGCCAAGCCAGGACAGGTATTTCAAATTTGTGATGCTTACTCTTTTGCTTTTTCTTTCCTTATTATTTATAGAAGTAGAAATTTCTGGGTTTAAAAATTATATCATGGGCAGAATTCTTCTACAAACAAAATGTCTGTGTTGGAAATACATATTGGAATTCTGTTTGTTGACTTTTATGGTCAATTTGCAGTCTATTTTTTTTTAAATTTCTCCAATTGTATGGGCCTGAACCACCCTTTATTGTGCATTTAAAAGCTATGAGAGGAGAAAGAATCCCTTTTCTAAAGGGATTTTGAAGGGTTGTAACTGTGACAGGAGTAGTAGCAGATGAAGTGAAGCATAACCATTCAACCAAAAGCCATCACCAGCATTTTAATATAAACAATAAATATTAAATACTGTGAATATACAGTAAATGTTTCTGATTTTTATCAGATATGTCAAAGCAAGACCTTCTGAGTTCTCTGGTGGTTATAGAATTCAGACTTCTTGCCTCCACTGTGCAGTGTTTTAAAGGAATGACAGTAATCCAACAAGATCTCACTTTCAACACTTTTGTTTGATTTTCACTTTGCACTTCTACAAAACTGCTTCTTTTGTAAGAGTGAACTGATTCTGAATTAATCTGGTTTCAGGTGATACAGACCATCACTGCAGCAGATAAAGATTTGTCACCAGCTGGGCAAAGATTTTCCTTCAAACTGTCATCTGAGGCTTCCAACAAACCAAACTTCACAGTCCATGACTACAGAAGTAAGTTGGTTACCCATAACTCTCTTTCAGAGCAGCAGACTGTAGTTACAATGACAAATATGTTTACTTCCAATTACAGTTGTGTCTGCAGACCTAACATTTTTCTTTGACATTTCTAATTGCTAAACTTTCTGGGATTTGTATTAATATAAATTCAGGTCTTGCACCTTTTCTTATTTTTAGGGGCAGGAATTGTCAGAACACCAAAGGCTGAGATTTCCCTACAGGCCTTCAAAAACACTGCTACCTGTTTTAGTTTCTTCCTTTTATCATTCAGTATCTCAGGAAGAATCCATATGCCAATGAAGGTATACCTTTAAACAAGGCACTGTTGCTGTCTTGTTTAAATACTATGATTTTGCTAACCATTTTAAAAGTACCCAGATATTGTGCTTTCTTGAGGATATGTAATCCTGCAGAAGAGTGCGTTCTAAATATCTGCAGAGCTGCTGAGGTACAACATCCTTAATAACTTGTAAATTTGTACAACTGACATCCCTGATTTTTCTTCCAATTTTTGTCATAACTGAATATCCTTTTTTCTCCTTTTTAACTTGAACTCTTTTGTTAGATGGCAAACACACAAAAAATCTTTTTTTTTCTACTGTAAGGATCTTCAAGGATGTAGTCTTGTGAACAGACACAGCTAAACCAAAACTGTAGTAAATTTTCATCACTAACTACTTTAATCAAATAAGAAAAAAAGAAGTATTTGAGCTATTAGATGATCTTTAAATTTAAATTACACTTCAAAGAAAGAACATCTAAAGCCATTCAACAAAGTTCAAAACCATTCAACTGTGCAGGTTATAAATATCACTTTCTAACAAAGCACATAATTCTTAATTTTTTAATTGCCGTTTTCAATTTAAATTTGAGGTTACATAGTTCATAAGGTAAAGGTTCCTTTCTTGTGAATTAAGTGACCCAAGCTCTTAAAAATCCTAGAAATGAATAAAACACCAATTGAAATAAAATGATGAAAGCTTTTTTTTCAATATTTTAAAAAATGTATTTAAATTATATATATGGTGCACAAAACTTTTGAAGTCGTGCACTATTGAATTGTTATGTAATACAAAACTAAAGCCAACTACATAAGGTAACCACTATTAATCCTGAAGAAACATCAGGAAGAAATAAATTTGTAAAAACAAACTGTGCCTCTTTTCTCTTTATGTATAGCTCTCCTATGAGGCTGATACAATGAAAATGGTTTATTCTGAAACTAAATAGTGACTTTTATCTTTGTGTGTCATAGGTAGCTAAAAAGACTGAACTCATGAGCCAAGAACTTCACTTAAGGATTCTTAAATAGAGAATATAGTGAAACCATTCATAATATTGTAGACATGAATAATAGTATCTTATAAAACCAATACTATGTAGATCTAACACATTTTATCAAATAGCATTCAAACAGTTTTCTTGAGACAGAGAGCTCAATGAATATGAAGGATGACTTTACAACAGATCCATGTTCCCTTACTTCTGTTCTTGGAAGATTAGGGCATTACTTTGCTCTGGAACATATTTTAAGGCCCATATGGGTAGAATCTTCACAATTATATAGTCTTAGAACATAAATACTATGTATTTCTAAATACTTTTATTTTTTTTTATAAATATTTATTTAAAGTAAGAGCTTTAACTTATTTTATTCATATCTGTTTCTTAAAATATCCTTTAATTTCAACAAGGATTTTGGTTTTGTTTTTTTAGTTTTTTAAATAACAATTACGAACTTCTACTTTAAAAAGAAGTCTTCTTAGGTAATTTTAACAGATTTAATTCATCAAAATAATTTTTAAACTTAGTAAGTCTATATGATAATTAGAGCTTTTGTAAAGTGTACTTAGCATGTGAGGTTGGTGAAGAAATTGTTCAAATATTATTAGATAATTAAGTTCCCCTGTTTAAACCAGTAATGTTGACATTGAAATGATTTGGATCTCAGTAATCTGTTAATGAAGTTTCATTACTGTATAAAAACAAATGCAATATTCTGATAAAAAGTGGAAACCACAAAGACATAAAATTTTAAAAGCATTTCTTAACACTTAGAAACAAAAAGAAATATAAAAAAGAAGTATGCAATTCGTTTGAATGTAAGGAACAAAAAAACCCCATTAAAATCTTTTTTCATTATTGATGATTTGCAAAGATATTAGGAAAAAATCTGTCCAAACAAAAACCCTTTCTTGCAATTTCATCTGCCTTTTGTTTGCCAAAAAAGGTGGAGAAAGGTCTGTTCTGTGCACAATTTAGAGGTGTAGTAACACAACCTTATTTTCACTGGAGAAACCTTTTAAAGACAAGTACCATTTTCTTTTAGGTTAGAAATTATGTTAGTAACAAGCAGGTATTTTGTGAAAGCAATTTTTTTCTATTTTTTGAGGACACGGTGTTGTTCACTGTAGTACAATTAATGCTTCTACAAGTAAAGGTGGCATTTAAAATTTTTAAATAAATCCAGAAGCACTAGTCCCTGCGCTATTCTATACAACTGAAAATCATGGGTGGTCTGATACTTCAGCAGGTGTAACTTCAGCAGGTATTCTTGTGCTGCACCCAAGAGAAGCCAGGCCCCGAACTTCAGAATATAACTTAATGAGTTCTGGAGTGAGACAGAAGCTCAAGGTTGCCTTTCAGCAGCACTGAGACCAATCCACTGTGTTAATAGAAGTGATGCCCTGGCAGAGCTGGAACTCTTCCAAAGGGAGTGCAGATCTCCCTCCTCCTGCTTTGCTGGCCTCACTCCGCTCTCTGGAGGGCAGCTTCCATGTGGAGTACACTCCATTGCTCATGTGAGAGACAGAATTTCCTTTTCTCACACATAGCCCATAAATTAATTTATTGCCAACAGATTGAAGAACCAGAAGCTATCTCAGCTTCTCTAGACTCTCCCGTGTAGAGTTCAAACACCTGCCTGTGTTCGTATTTTCAAAAGAACTATGAACAATTGAAAGGGGTCATAAAAGAGCAACAAAAACTGTTCAAAACCAAGGAGATAAGAGGTTTATCTGATTGATTCTTCTCAAAGGAGGATGGAAAGTCATTTAGTTGCATTGTAAGCTTTTAAAGTGATCCTCAGTGTTCCAATTAGAAGAAAAAATAAAATATAAATAATTCTAATAATAGAAATATGGAAAAAATAATAGAAATAAGATGTAACTGAATGTCTTCAAATTAGTTCCTTAACTTTTTATACAGTGCAAGTGATTATAGAGAGAAATAAAAAGCTGAAGATGGAAGCTGGTTTGATTCAAACTACTCTGAGATATTTTTTCCTTTTCAAAACTAAGTGTAACTGAACTTGACCTGTCCATGTTTGAGTTTGATGAAAAGGAGGTGTCTGACGTATTTTTTTAATCTATGCACCTTCTCAATGGCATCTAATCATAGCATATCTAATTTTGGATATTTAGGATTCCATCTAATTGTCCTTAATCAGAACTCCATACCAGTATTTGAGTGTGAAATTCAGCGCCCTTAATCCTTCTACATTGTATCAAATCTCTGAGGCATGAAAACCATCATGTGACATCTTGTAAAAAATATAATTAAAAATATACGTGAGATGGAAAAATGGTAATTGCAGCAGTTTACTTTCATTTAGTTCTGTCATCTCATTAATTCCCTGCCAAATTAATTTTAGTTTTGTTTTTAATGTAATTATTTTCATCTTTACATCAATTCCTTGCTTTGATTCAGAAAAGCATCAATAACTGACTGTGAAGCAATGACAAAGTCTAGAAGTGGATTAATTGATGGAAACTGTACTGAATTTTTAGTACTCAGTTAATTTCTCTAGTTATTTTTAATGGGGAAGGAAGGCTAAAATGATTGCATATTGTCCAGGTGTATTATTTTGTATTTTTAAGGAGATTAGGTAGTTGACTCAGACATGATTCTAAATTCATACAAAATCAAAATCCTTTGGACCACAGGCTTAGAATATAAGGAGATCAGGTGAAAAAACTGAAAAGCCTTCAGAAGCATGCTTTTAATGTTTTGTTTGGGGTTTTTTTTAGTTATTTTTGTCTTCTTTGAAATTTCAGCTGTTAAAAGGCTTACAAGAAAAGGAAAATTGTTTCAGGCTCTGAAAAAAATAACTGCACCAGTCAGAATACAATGCCTTCTGTAATGGCAAAGCAAGGCAATTATGTAATGCATGTAATTCACCAAGGTTCAAATATGAAATACCAGGCTATTACTGAAGGTGATATAGGCTAAAATATGGAGTGAAGTACGCAATAAAAATCTGCTAATGACTGTCATGTTTTACAGACAACACAGCTGGGATTGAAACCAGGAGAAATGGCTACAGCAGAAGGCAGCAAGAGCTGTACTTTCTTCCAATAGTAATTGAAGACAGCAGTTACCCTGTCCAGAGCAGCACAAACACTCTGACCATCCGTGTTTGCAGATGTGATTCTGATGGCACCATCCAGTCCTGCAATGTGGAAGCAATCTTCTTACCAGTCGGCCTCAGCACAGGAGCTTTGATTGCAATCTTGTTGTGCATTGTTATACTTCTAGGTTAGTTCTCACGAAACCCTGCAAAGTGCTTTACTGTGATTATTCACTAGCTTCCCCTAGTTTTTAACAAAAACCATAGAAAATGTGTGGCAGTTTATTTCTAAAAGAATACCCCAAAACACTGCTCATGACCATGAATCTGCTGATCCATGCAATATCACATGGATATTATTGCATTAGTTTTCAGAGGAATCCAAATCATAATTTTTTTCTCTGAAATTATTTTCAATTTCTTTATTAAAAGATCCAATTTTTAGATTATTACTGAGGTAGACAAGTCCTACTGACAGTAACAGCAGTAAGAACATAGTAAGAGCTTTTATTTAATTCTTCTTGCTCACTTAAGCAAAAGAAGAATGAAGAAATGGAAGAGAAGAAAGTAATTGTAACAGACTGTTACTGGCCACATCTATTTAAAACTTCACAGGAAGCTTTTTGATTTTAGGCAGGCATTGATTTCATAAGGTGGCGTTATTATTTGTTTTAACTTATATTTATGTACTGTCTTATTAACAGCCTATCCAAAGTGCATCTTACTTGGAATATAGCCTGAAGCAACTGATAATGAAATAAAATCAACTTTAAAGCTTATACAAGCACCATGTGGGCTTCAGAAATCAGACTGAGTCATACAGATGTTGGCCTATGCCTTGTTTTGATACTAATGGCTTCCAAGGTCATGTGATAGTCTAATGAATACCCAAAAATAGATCCTGACACAGAATATATAACATGTGAATACCTCATTGCATTTGGATGATGTAGGTGCCACTTAAGTAAATTACTAAAGACTCGGGGTTGCATAAATAGCTTCTGAGTAATAGTGGGTGTAAGTCAGGATTTCTGCTCTGTGTCAAAAAGTGATGTTGTGAGAAAAAATATTATTTCAAATCAGAACAAGAATGGCAAATGGTCACCCTTCCCATGGAGTAGCAATTAAATTCACAAATATACTCATTCTGAAGAATTTAAAACAAAACCAAAACTAAGTAAACCAAATGACTTATGTGAGTATTTTGAAGCAAGAAGAATGCTGTCTCCTTTGACACAATTCCAGTTAGAGCAGGATGAATACCCCACAACATCTCTGTGCAACATATTCTACTGCTTGACATCCTGGTGATAAAGAAACCTTTTATTTCTAACATTTTAATGGACTTTTCCACATTTCATTTTGTGCCCATTGCCTCTTCTCCTGTGACAGGACACCCCTCAGAAAAGCTTGGCTCTGTTTACTTCCATCCCTCAGGTGTTTATGCACATTGGTAAGATCCCTCTGTGCCTTCTCCAAAAGGAGCAGACCTGGCTCTCTTAGTCTCTGCTTGTGTGGCAGATGGTCCCATCCCTTAATCATCTTTGTGGGCCTACACTGGCCTCACTTCAGGGAGTCCATGTCCATCTTTTAGTGAGGAGCCCAGAACTGGGCCTGGAACTCCAAGCCTGCATAAGCAGAGGTGAGCAGAGGGCAATAACTATCTCACTAGACCTGCTAGCAGTGTTTCTCCTAATGCAGTCCCATATCTTCTTTGATAGAAGGGCATGTTGATGGCTCATGGTGAGCTTGTTGTCCCTCAGGATCGCAAGGCCTCATCCATCAAGCAGCTTTCTGGTCAGTTGGCCAACAGCATCTTCAGCAGGCAATTACTCCTCTCTGTGTGTGGGACTTGGAATTTCTATTTGTTGAACATCATCGAGTTCCTTTTGGCCCACTCCCTCAGCCTGATGAGATCCCTTTGAACAGTGGCAAAAGCACTCTTTTATTGCCTGAAAATTTGCTGAGGGTGCACTCAATCCCACATCCAGGCTATTTATGAAAGTATTTAACAAAAGTAGTCCCAGTACCAAATCCTGTAATACTTTATTAGAGACTGGCCTCAATCTGGTCTTTGAAATACTGTTCACAACCTTTACAGTCTGGCAGTTTGGCAGCTTTGCAATCCACCTCACCATCTGCTTGGATAGCCCTCACTTTCAGGTTTTCTGAGAAGATTGTTAGGAAAGACAATATCAAAAGCTTTGCTAGAGTTAGGATAAAATTATTGCACTTTTCTCCCTTCATCAACCAGTCACCTTATTGTAGAAGGCTATCAAGTGAGTTAAGCACAATTTCATCTTCATAAATCCATCCCTGTTGCTCTTATGCCCCTTCTTAGTTTCCAGAATTATTTTCTCCATAATTTTTCTAAAAATCAAGGTGAGACTGGCTGCTCTAGTTCCCTAACTCATTCTACTTGCCCTACTTGAAGACAGGAGTGACACTTGCTGCAGTTGTCAGAAACTTTTCCTAGTCACCATGACCTTTCAGAAATTATCACAAATAGCCTCACAATGATAGCAGCCACCTTCCTCATCATTCATATCTGTATCTCACCATATCCCATGCTCTTGTGCTTCCAGTTTGTTCAAGTATTTTCTAACCTGATCCTCTTCCACCAAGGATTAGGCCTTCTTTCTTCCTTCTGGTCTCAGAGACATGAAATTACTGAAGGAGAACTTTACAAAACAGCTCCCCTGCCCCATTCAGCAATGGGCCCACTTTACCTTTCTACCCTTTCTTTCTGTCTTACTTGTACTAGCCCTTCTTGCTGCCCTTTGTGTCCCTCCTGAGACAGCACCATGTGGGCTTTGTCTTTCCTTACCGCATTCCTGCGTGTTCAGACTGGCACTGCATTTTCCTCCTGGCTCACCTGTCGCTGTTTTCAACTCTTAGACACCTCTTTTTTATCACTGAGTTTAAATAGGAGCTTCTTATTCATCAATGCAGGCTTCCTGCTGCCTTTTCTTGATTTCCTGCTCCTCAGGTTGGACCACTGTTGAGTTTGGAGGACATGATACTTGAAAATCAACCAGTTCTCCTAGACCCCTCTTCTCCCAAGAACCTTATAACAAGTAATTTTTTGAAGCAGATCTCTGAAGAGGCTGAAGTATACTGCATAAAAATATACAGTAGGATTTTTTTTTCTGTATTCCAAAAATTCAAAATTTGAAATTATTCAAAATTTTTATTATTCAAAATTCCAGGGTTTTTTTCTGTAATACTCTTTGGGTTGGGGTTTTGGTTTAGTTTTTTATTCTTGTCTTCAAAGTGTAAATTTAGTTTCTTTTCTCTATTTTTCTATGCAAAATATTTTTTAAAAATATTTTTAAATGTCTCTCTGAACTAAAAACCTGAAGTTCTTTTCAATTCAATTAGTTTGTAGAGCAGGCCAGCAGGAAAATTATTTGATACTTCCTCCAGCAGTACTGCAATCACTTAGGAAAGTTAGATTCGTATGTCAAAGAGCATATAATTTTTCATTGGCTACAGCACTGCTAAGCACTGCTCTTTTCTAAGGACAAAAGTCCCTTTGATTGCTTGTGGCTTTCACAGAAAGATATAATGATGTGTCGTCAGAGTACCAAATTATTTCTCTGCATGTCTTAACTTCAGTTGTCTCTCATTACAGTTATTGTAGTACTGTATGTAGCACTACGGAGGCAGAAGAAGAAAGACACCCTGATGACCTCTAAAGAAGACATCAGAGATAATGTTATCCATTATGATGATGAAGGAGGTGGAGAAGAGGACACCCAGGCTTTTGACATAGGTGCCCTGAGGAATCCCAAAGTGATTGAAGATAATAAAATACGCAGGGACATAAAACCAGACACCTTGCGTTTTATGCGCCACAGACCACCAGCAGAAGATAACACAGACATAAGAGATTTCATTAATCAAAGGCTGCAGGAAAATGATGTAGATCCATCTGCACCCCCTTATGACTCCTTGGCAACGTATGCTTATGAAGGAAATGGATCTGTTGCAGAGTCTCTCAGCTCTATAGACTCCCTCACAACAGAAGCAGATCAGGATTATGACTATCTGAGTGATTGGGGACCTCGCTTTAAGATCTTGGCAGATATGTTTGGAGAAGAAAGTTATAACCCTGACAAAGTCACTTAAGTACAACTACAACAGTGAAACAAAAAGAAAAGCAAACCAACAGCAAAATTAAAAGATAAACCTAAGCTTTATATAAGACACAATTACTTTGATTATAAAAGACAGCAATTGTTTCCAGCAAGTTACTACATTTATCATACCGTCAGCTTTGGTTTGATTTGAGAAAGAATGATAAACCCTGTAACATACACAGGTTTTTGTTGTTGTTATTTTGTTACTCTGGAATTACACTGAGACAAGCTCAGGCCTACAAGGTGCAGTTTACTGACCTGACTTAGAAAGAAGGTAGCTTTCTGGCATCATGGTGGAAGAGTGGTAGCTTTTTCGTAATTCCACTAAAGTGCCTATTGAAACTTTTATCATTTAAGTGGTAAGCTGTCTGCTGTGATGGTGTTACAAAACTGAATGGTAAATCAAACATGAACTTTAAGACAAGAAGCAATAGCAACATGCTGACTTCTTTTAGAAAAAAATGGAGATCACTTCCTGGAGTATCTAATGACTATTGTGGGGGAGGAGGGGGGTGTGTACATTGTGTTTGGGGGTTATGTTTGTTGTCTTTTTTTACAGAAAACAATATGTCAAGACATCATATTTCCTCTCCCAAAGTTTCACTGAGAATTTAAATTTAAAATGCTATTGCTCACTTTGAAGATGTAAAGCTGAAATTAAAAAGGAAAATATCTTAACATAAATTGATGAATATTTAAAATGTTCATACAAATACTACATTTTTCCAAAATAATAAAAAGATGAAAGCAGCTATTCCTTGATGTTAAGGAAATTTCCCTTGTCTCTCCTGCTTCTTTTGAAATGAGACTATTATTAGAACATAAAAATGGAGAGGGTTTTTAAAGATTATTACTGTATTTTCAGTACTAAGACACCTCTTCCATTATAAGTATCACTAAAGAAATACATGTAAATAACTCCACACCACTCTTCTTTGCAGTTAGATTGTTACTCTGTAGTCACCATAAGCATATATATTATAAATATAGTTATTTTTCCATTGATGATCTGCTACAGTTCAGCATATTTCCATATTTCACTGCCACACCCAAAGGAAACATTTGAGAAAAACTTTTGAGGTTGGACATTTTCTTAATTTTGTTTTTGAAAAAATTTAAACAGAAGCAGAATAAATATATAAACCAGCACTTTTGTTTACTCTTTATGTACATACTCATGCCTAAATGTAGCTGTGCAGATGGCAGAAGTTCAGATATGCACAAGGCATTATGTCCTGGAAAATGTCTTGCAAAACTATTTTATGTAACTTTTTTCTGATGATCTAAGGCATAGACATTTTGTAAGACAATGGTTTATGGCTCCCAAAGTGCATATATCCTTTTATTCTCCTCCCAAAGTCTCTGCAGTGCTATACAATCTGTTTGAGCTCTACTCATGATTAATGGCGCTGCCAAGGTCAGCCTGAGTCTTTCTAGAACCAGAAGTCTTTTGTTCACCTCAGGTCTATAGCTTACCTTTTGTACAGCTAAAGAATTAATAACTATCAGATATACTTAGCTCACACATCTGATATTAATGTGCGTAAGTTTCCCTTTACCCTCTGGGGGAAATGTAAATGTATTTCAACATTATAGAACTTAATCTCTCAATAAGACTTGGAAACACATTATAGATGAGTTTTGGATCATTCAGTGCAATTGGACAGGGCTGCATCAAAAGCACAATTGGCATAGCTTCTACCAGCAGTGTGCTGAGGAAGAGACACAGCCAATGGCAACAAGGAAACGTGGTTTTTATTGTTTTCAGGAAAGTTATCCTGCATTTCCTAAAGACAGACTAAATCAATAAAAGCTCTCTCCTTACAGGTCAGGAAAGCATAGGAAGTGATGGACCTCATTTGACAGCACAGAAGTTTTCATGTGGAAGATTGTTTTAAATTTTCACACATCTTGACAGTATATCAAAGCCAACTTGATACTGCACAATGGGCCTAAAACAGAACACTGGATAAAAGAAGAAATATTTATATTTTCTACTACTCACAATTGAGACTTGATTCATACAAGAGTCACAACAAATGAGCAAAGCTTCCTCATGTAGCATGTGCATGGTAATGCTTCCTGCCCTGTTGTCGCAACTAAAACATACCTTTGATTCTGCTCATTTCCAGACGTGCAGTCTGAAAATGCACATCTGTAGCCAAACTGTAGCCAAGCCCTGCTCTTAGCAACTGTGTTAGTTCTTTATATGCCTTTCACTAGTAAAATCACCATAAGTGAGAGCAGTGTTTGACTTTTTTGACACCGTGAGGCATGCTCACTCCTGAGGAAATTCTCTGTATTTGTAGCTCATACTGGCTGAACATTAGTTTTCTTGAATAGGTAGGCATTCTTTTCTAAGTTGGACAGTGTATATGTGAGCCTGACTTCCAAATTGGGTAGACAGAACACATGATCTTTAACATGCTGCTACACACAATCTGTATGTGACAGTGAGTGGCTGTATGTTAAATCAATACCAAAATGGAAAGTAAGTGTATATTTTTGACATTTAAGGTATTTGTAGCTGAGATGTTGCTATCACATAATTAATACACATCCAGGAAGATTTTAGAAAAATAATGCAAGTACTTAAAAAGTGGCCTAAAAATATATGATTAAAATATTTGAAGACCATTGTTGAAAAGTGATCAAACATTTTTTACATAATAGGGGTATTTTTTGTAAACAGTTCTGTAGAACTAAGAAAATGAATTGCTTTTCATTTATTCACAGCTTGGGATTCAGGAAACTTGTTTTTAATTCCATGTTCTTTCACTCCCTTTCTAGAAGATATTTGTCAGATTTTTAACATCTTATTTTTTAAATGATAATTAAAGAAATATGAAATTTACAAGAATTAAAATATGTCAAGGCATCTGAGATGACATGAAGTTAGTAGGATTAGGGAGCCCCAGTGCACATGTAAATTGTATCACTTAATTTCTTCTGGTTTTAAAAACTATGTCTTAAAACAAGCCTTGCAGAGTTAAGATGTTGAAGTGGATGTCTCTCTTTCTGTCAAAACCGCAAAAACTATCAGAGTGTCAAGAAACTAAGAAAATGTATAAAAGGCACAGAATGGAGAGAATGTTTTTGTTTTAATTTCCAAAAATAGGGTACTAGTGCATACACATTTAACATCATCTCAAATCAGTACATCCCCTGCAAATCACAACATTCTGTAAAACACTTTCTACATATGAAGTAATTGAAATACTTCACTGGCACAAAAAAATCCACTTTTTAAGTCAAATATTTATGACATACACTATTGGTGCTGAAATAAAGCATTCAGCTAAGAGTGGAAGTATCTAAGGAAAGCCAACTATTAAACTTAAATCATTAAGAATTGAAGACAAATGTATAACAGAACATCTGACAGGAATTTCAGCGAAGAAGGAAAAAAAAATCTTCCCTGCCCTCTCAAGAAAACTGAAAATGTCAATACTTAGGGAATTAATACAATTTCTCTGTGGAGTCAGAATATAAAAGATTATTAATATTTGGATTTAAGACCTCTACCACACAAATCTGAAATTACTGCTATTCTTGTAACATAGATCTGCAAAAATGACAGTGAGTCAAAGAGCAAGGATTTGGAAAGCAATGACAGTAGATTATGTCTCCTGCACAAAGATATGGTTGAATATTTTATACTTTCATTATTTTTACTTATTTTATATATTGGCTTAATTTCACTGTTAGCAATACAATCGCAGTTAGTATGGGTTTACTCTAGGTTTTGGAAACAGAGTTCATTATAAGTGACAATAAATGACTCAATAGTTTACTAATAATATTGTTCTAGAGATTGCCTTCAAAATATTCTTGCCTTGACAATAAGATTTCCATATCCTTATTTTATACTGCTAAAAATCTGGTTCTGCAGATGATATATTCATACTAGGTTTACCTCCATTATTGATATGAGAGTTAAGACTGCATTGCTATGGAATAACAGATTTCTACTGAATGAATACAGGAATGAAAGGTAATAATTTGCTGGGTTAAAGGCATATAATATTACATTAGTGACTGTATTTTACTTGTTGAGATTTGAGGTTGTACTGTTTTTGCAGTTATATTATTACTTTTATTACTATGAATGTTATTAGCATTGACATTCAAATCCTGTGTGTATAAAAACATATTTGAGCTTTGAAAAACTTAATGAAAGCAAATAATGAAATGACCCCCAATAATAACCCTACTGAGGTGACATTTAAGTGTGAATGAAAATCAAATTTTATATTACACTCATTCACAATCTTTTTGTAATGGAAAATCTATAATAACCTTAATCCTTTTCTGTTCTTATTTAAATCAAGAATCAGATAAGTAGTCAGAAGACCAGCAGCCATTGCTATTTTGAGCAAAACTAAGAAAAGTACCTGGAGCTTTTTGGTGGGACTTTGGAATGTTTTTTAACCTATTTATTTAATTCATAGGCTTCTTTTATTCAACTATAGTTTTAAACTAAAATTCTCAGATAACTTTTTTTTTAATCTTACTTTCATGCCTGTTTTTCCAAACAAATTGCTTCCCAGGACTCAGGGAAATCTTGTCAATGTGTATAAATACCTGATGGATGGAAGTAAACAAGGTGGAGCAAGGTGTTCCTAGTGGTGCCCAGTGACAGGACAAGTGTTAATGAACTTAAATTGAAATGCATGAAATTCCATTAAAATGCGAGAAGAAGGTTGCTTTTATTGTCAGGCGATTAAACAGTTGATCATGTTGCTCAGAGAAGTTTTCAGGTATCCAGCCTTGGAGATCTTCTTCAAAACCCAACTGGATTTTTTCCTGAGAGACCTGCTGTAATTGACCCTGCTATAGGCAGGGAGGCTGGACTAGATAATCTCCAGTGGTATCTTCCAGCCTCATCCATTTTGTGACTTGTGATAAAATCACACTTGGACTCCTTAGCTTGAGCAAGCTCAATAGCACTCGGGGCCTAACTACATAAGCAGAGCAGAATCATAGAACGACACAATGGTTTGTGTTGGAAAGGAACCTTAAAGATCTTAGTTCCAACCCCCTGAAATGGGCAGGGACACCTCCCACTAGATCAGGTTTGTCAAAGCTCCATCCATAGTAACTATGATTTGTTTCAGTGAGACAGCTGAGGTAGGAGTGAAGCAATAGAATAGCAATGAGGATAGGGTGGAGAGGGATAAATTATTTACTGTAATTTCCGGTGCAAGATGTAAGGGGCATCACATGAAACAAGTAGATGTAAGGGTGAAATTAAAAAAAAAAAACAGATGTGGTTCTTCATGTAATGACTAGCTGAGAGAGTCATGGAGGCTCAGAGTTTGCACAGGTTGAAAAAGAGGTTTGAAAAAGTCCTGAAAAACGGATAGTTTGCGGGTTCCTTAATACATAGGAATCATATCTGGCTGAATGTGTTCTTGAATAGTGCTTGATTAGCATCTGAGAAGTCTCATAACATGGTGTGTTTCTTGGTGTCTTGCTGGGATCTCAGCTTCTGCCAGTGCTGAGTAAAAGTTTATTACCCAAGTTTGACTAACTTATTTTCCTATTATTATTTTATTGTAAATTTACTTGATCTTCATATCAACATTCCTTCAGTTCTAATTTTCCAGATCACATAGATAAAAAGTTTTTTCCTATTTATTACATACCATATGCTTATATGCATGCATATTTTGTTATTTCCCTCAGATTTTAACCATTGTAATTTATGTATTTCCTTCAATACTGCACACCTTATATAGACCTTACCATTTTCTGTCTTTAACAGGGGCACCAACACTGCTGTTAGGGCTGATTACACAGTTTGGCTTAGTTTATATTAAAAAAAAAAAAAAAAAAACAAACAAACAGAAAAAAACCATTGCTGCATAAAGAAGATAACCTCTACAATACATGTCCTCTTTTGCATGTGTTTCATTTGTTAGCTGTCTTGAATACATCCCTGTGTTCCAAGAACACCTGAAAAAGAGAGAGGAAAATGAAGTGACTGACTAGAAATGGGGCCAGTATTAGTCCACTATTCTAGAATGCAGACTACTGCTCTTCTGCTATGTGTTGTAATGTTAGAAGTGATTTATTGATTTCAAATGTTGAATACCCTGCATTTACACTCAAATGTACGTTTTTCTACTGTATGCCTCCATAGAAAGGACAATTCAAGAAGTATACACAAAAAGGTGTATGGTCAGGAAATTAAGTAAAATTAAGAGGAGTCACAAATAAATATGCCTTGAAAGCTTGTCTTATATTATTTGGTCATATGGTTGCAGTAAATAGTTATATTTTTAATTTTGTCCTTGGAGTTCATTTTGTCAGAGCAGTAAGTGAGGTCCGAGGATACATTTAATATTATTCAAATGCTCCCATTGCCTTCAGCCCCTGCTGCTTTAGGTTGTTTGGGTTACATTGAAATTGGATCTTTATCCCCCTGTGTATTCATTATGTTCCCAGTTGTGGGTCTTGCTGCATAATGACTACAGCTGAAGTTTCACACTAGAAACATCTGACCAAAAAGTATAGGACACAGGAGGACAGGTGTAGAACTGTAGTTTGGGTTTGCATAAGATGTTTCAGAATGAACAAACATCAAATTAATGTTCTGCCAACTTACATAGGCAAAAACCAGACAGAGTGTGAAAAAGAAAAGAAAAAAACTAACTGCAATAACAAAACCTGTAGAGGATTTTCTCCTGTTCTACCACAGTATGTAAAAACACATCCTCTCTGTTAAGGGATGGAGACACAAGGAGTAGGAGATGAAGGACTCTAGAGTTGTTATGTCCTCCTTTTTTTTTATGGCTATTTGTATTTAGCATCCTTTTGTATCTATAAATAACAAGCTAACATTTCTTAGCTCAATTGTGTTTTTAGTCTTAAATTAAGAAAAATATATTCTATGAAATGAAGGGGAATTTGTCAGTGACAAATGAAACAGAAATGCTTCAAATACAGTACAGC